CAGGGTAGTAGTTAAGGGCAGGCAACAAGTTCACTACATATAACAATAATGTAGTAAGATTATCTACAGTGAATGTCCTTCATGGCCCAAATTCTTTCTCTATAGGGACTTTCTCTTTCTTTTAGACGTTTGCCCCTTCTGTGGATATGGAAAAAGATTTAGCACATCCTCACGGTATTCATTTTTATCATGGTTCACCAGCTACCACATCAGATCATGCTGAAAAACTGCCACTTCTCCCTGCAAAATAGATTCAACAGAAAGTTGGTCTCACTTTGCCCCCTCACCAGTTACAACAATTAAGCAAACGACATCACCTCGATGTATTCTAGTAGAACATTGGGTTCCCATCTGTAACATCTAGACTTTTAGGCCTAGAAGTTCCAGAAATAGCCTAAATTAAATAGGTTACCAGATCTCTGTGAGCAGAAGTCCCAAAGATGAAAAAGGAAGGTAAAGCAGTTTCAGGGACTAAACTGCAAAGTAAAAGTTTTCAAGGGCTCGAGTATAATTAAGGTTAGAGGCTCCAGTAAAGTCTCGAAGGCCCAAAAAGAGAAAAGAGACTAGATACAGGCCAAAGGTTAAGCTAGAAGCCTCAAAGAGAAGATTATATGAAGCTAAGTCCAAGAAGGGACTAAACTGTAAATTCAGAAAGTTATGACCAACAGGGGTAAAAATAGAAGAGTACGCAGAGAATTCCAAGAAAATCCTAGAAAATGGGAAATAATATTCTAAGGCTCTTCTATGAAGAGAAAAGATGAAAATGCCCCTGAAGCAGCTTCAACAGAATTTATGAGGTTATTACCGGTAAAAAGTATACCATGTGAGGTAATTATTTGAAATAGCAAGAGACCTCAAAAGTGTATACAAAAATTAGGTTAAAGGGTTGAAAGGTTGTACTAATTTATAAAATTAGTCCTGCCAGTAGAGTGGCTTTAAGAAATTAAAGAGCCGGTTCTGCCGATAAAAGGATATTTTAGTAAATGAATTTTATGCAAGGCTTAAAGAAAGTGTTATGGGCTAAGAAAATTCATAGATACTCTCTAAAATTAAAGAGAATTTATGGATCTGACAGAAAATAATTACAGAGGCCAGAGCACTGTAATTAGAGAAAAGAAGTTAAACCCGGAGTAAAAGTGCACCGATAAAGTATTAATCATAGTCTTGCACTTTACTTGGGCCACAAGTCGCCACTTGTCAAGCCTTTAATGGATGGTAATTAAAGCTTTCCAAGTGTCAAGCTACCAATGGAGAGGATCTTGACTTTGGAATTTAATTACATTATGATTTAAGTTAATTAAGAGAGAGGATTAAGATTAAGTAGGCTAATGACACTTGGCATAACATTAATGATGGTTGGTGGGATATTTTGTACACATTAATGAGCTCATCTCTTCCCTAAATCAGATGGGAATTTCGTGCAAGGCATGAAGAGAGGGAAAAAGAGAGAGTTTTGAGGGAAAACCAAGAGAAAGGCATCAACTTTGGTCATACAATCAAGGTTCAAGGTGAGTTCTTGGCTCTAGATGTGTTCTTGCCTTGGTTTCTTTCTCTTTTATGGTTGAAAATATGTCTTCTCTCCCTTTTGATGGCTGGTCGAAATGGTTGATGAGTAGGGAAGGGAGTTCGGTTGTTAGATCTTGCTAGAACACCTCAAAGTATGGTAGATCCAAGTGGATCTATGTGAAACTTGGAAGAATTACGTGCTGATTTGATGGCTTTTTCGAATTAGTTACTGCTCATATCTGGTTCTGAAATTTGGCATGCTTAAAGTAAACTCTATGAGCTTTAAATACATGGGTAGAACACTTTATTTGGATATGTGTACGATTTATGGTGATTTTTCAAAGTTAAGGTTTGAAATCTGGAAACAGTGTTGAACTTTTGGGAGATTGTCGAGTTCCGTACAATTCTGGTACTGTTCTGAGTAGAATTGGTTCCTGAAACTATTTTTATGTTAAATTTAACTTAATTAGCTTTCAGTGAGACTTGAATCACTCAATTTGGAGTTTTCTAGATTTAATTATGAATTTTCAAATTTGAGCAAAAATTCTGGAGATTCTGCATGAACAGTACCCGCGAACCAAAATTTCCAGATTTGATATTCTTGAATCTAAAGCCATCTAAAGTGGTCCTAATTGATAGGAAATAGATCATAAGGATGTAAAATGATAAGATTTATATTAGAAAAGCTAGAAAGAAAACCCTAAGACTAAGAGAAAGGGGTTGAGGTTCAAGAAAGCTAGTCTTGAACTTTATGTAATCTAATGGTCCTAATGGATTGTGTCATCATTATGGTTATGTTTAGGACCTTTGAAACATCCAAGAGGATGTTTAGTGATGTTGACCAAATGCCCACATGATTGGAAAGTCAAGGGAGTCAAAGGAAAAGTAAGAGGAAAGCTTGAAGTGCAAGGTAGTGAACTTACCCTTTATGTGCTTGACATGGTATGCTTATGTGTTGGTTTGTATTTGTTGTTTGAATGATGTTGTGACATGATGATTATTGCTGGAAATGCTGTTTTTAATATGTTCCCATGGCCATGCATTTTTATACCAAGCATAAAGCATGATGGCATGTCACTAGTTAACTTAAATTTATGAAAAACTACATACCATACACTAGCATCCATCTTGTGCATGTATGTGGTAGTGTTTGCTACTGAGATTCCCCGAATCTCACCCCCTCCCTAACCAACCATTTAGGTCAAATCAATGATGGGCACTAAGGGCATGAGAAGCAAGGAGAAGAAGTGGAGAATTATTAATGCTAATGATTGATGTTATTATTCAATGTATAATTCTCCTATATTGTAAGTTATGTTATGAATGCCATCAATTCAATGTATATGCTTAGGATGTTTATGGCATGAATGAAAGTATATGAGTATGAATGAGAAAGATTAAGGCCATGTTAGGTATGCCAAAGAAATAAAAAGAATTAAAATAAAGAGATATTAAGGGATAAAACGTAGGTCCTGAAGCAGTTAATTTCAAGCTTCAGTTTGACCTATCATATGAATGAGTTAAGCTACGGAATTTGGTACACTTATAATGCATATCCCAAGCTTTAAAATGAGTGGTAAATCACATCATTTGGGTGTGTATACAATGAGATATGAATTTTTGAAGTTAAGGTGCAGAATCTGGAAAGTCCAGATTTTACCAAATGAATAGTAATTTTAATCCAATAAACTGTACGTTTTCAGTGAGGATGAGATCAGTTAAATATTTTTCCCTTAAAGAGCATTGAAAGAGCTTTCCGTAGAATTTTGGAACACCTCCATACGATATTTCTAGAATTAGTTATGATTTTTCAAAGTTGGACCTGTAATCTGAAAACTGGACAGTGAACAGTAATTTTCCGAAAATTAACGTCCAAATTGAAATTTTTAAGCTTAAGACCATCCAAAGTGGTCTGGAATGGTTCTAAATGAATGCTAAGGTATTATATAAGTAAGGTGTGACACCATCTGCTGAGCCATATTAGGACATACACCCTACAGTCTCTCCTGAGAACAGCACCACCATCACAGTTTAACAACTCCAGAATAAATATAGGAAATCAGCAAATTACATGTGCAGTGTATGTATATTCACAAATTACTCTGTTAAGGTACATTAGGCTACACAATTTCCAAGTTTGGCATTTTCTCAATCAAATCTGGCCTAACCATACGGATAATGTCATGGAACCTCTCTCTCTACACATATATCAGGTATTCATCAACATCACTATAATTTCATACAGTAATAATAAAATGTAATATGCCCACATGATTCTTACATATCCTGCTATGGCCATTTCCTAAGGGTCATAGGTGACTGCCTGCTTCTTCTTAGTTGTGGTCTTCTTAGGCTAAACAATTCCTCGCATGGAATCCAGACATAGAACTCCATGGTGTTGGGTTTAAGGGCAAAGCAAAACCAGTACTCACCAACAAGTGCAGGACCCATAATCAAGTCACATTCACCTATGTTATACCCGACAAAGTAAGGAATTATTTGTCGACATGATAGTTAGGGTCCCACCAAGCTGGGTCACAGATCATTAGCTCCTGATAAAGAACAAAAATTGATATTGTCAGTTTACAATTAGTTTCTTTAAACAGTTATTTGCCTATACAGTGTTGTTACTTTACATACTACACTTGTCATTTCCCTTTGAGGACTTTTAATTTTCCTATCCAGACTTATCATTCCACAAACTAATAAAGAAACCTCACCATCAAGTCCACATCAAAAATATGCCTCCTTACTTGCCCTTCCACCACCTATTGCTCATCCACCACAGCCTTACAAACTAATGACATGACCCTGTTACTAACTCTGTTATTTCCCCCAAGAGAATGTAGCAAGCATCGGCTGATATCTTCATCATACATTTTAATCAAAGTACTGACAATGATTGAAGTGAGTTAGCATATAGGTTATGTGAATATGTGATAACAAAACACCATGACAAAAGCCGAGCATCACAATACTTACTAGTCGCCTTCATCACCTTTCACACTTCGGCTGACAATGGTGAAGAAAACATCTTTATCCTTCGTAGGCCTCTTCAACCTTGTCTGTGCCTTCAACTTCAACCAAGGAGACTTAATTTTACTGAAGCAAACCTTGGTAGATCTCCTTACTTGTTGTGCCTGCACACCTTCAGCTGCTGTCACAGGTTCCACCATAATGGGGGTTTTGCTCTCAACAAGGTCAAGATATTTGACAATTGCTAGGGGGGATACAATAATGGCTATGTCACCCTCCATATCATCACCTTCAAGATTGGATGACAGGTTTATGGGGGTACTAGGCATGGGTATGTCACCCTCCATTTCATCATTGTCCTTGTCACCACTGGTTCCATCACCCTTGTCTTCATTCTTCCCTTCTTCCATTTCATCACCATCCCCATCAGCATTGCCTACACTGTCTCCATGATCCTTCTGTGTACTCTGTCCCTCATCCTTGTTCTGACTATCTTTATCATTCTCTCCATCATCTTTTTACTTATTCTCCTCCTCACTTGTCTCATCATCACTCCCCCTATCACCCTTCTCCTTGTCCTCCTCCTCCTCCTTACTTGTCTCATCATCACTCCCTTCGTCATCTTTTTCCTTCTCCTTCCCCTCACTACTCTCACCATCACGCCCTCCATCATTCTTTTGCACAGCTTCACTAGTCTCACCAGTATTCTATCTCTCCTCATTATCATCTTCAGAGCCATTGACAATTGATGCGAGTGTCTCAGCAGGAGCATTTCCTTTTCTCTTGCCATTTGTCTCTCTTGGAATGTGCACCTTCATGAGCTCCTCATCTACCATATTCATTAGCCTCTGATGGCTTTCTTCTATCCTCTTCATTAATCGTGCATGTAACTACTTTAGCTTCTGCATGACAATGGCCTTTATCAGTTTACTAGCAACATAATTATACCACATCATGACCTCACTATTACAGGTGACAATCTCATTTTATCCAGTGACAATCTCATTTTATCGAGTGACAAGTTAACTATTATCAATAACAACTTCAGTATATGAACTTACAAGCTTACTACACTATAACAAATAACAACCTATTACTATTACGAATAACAAGTTCATCAGTAGTATAAATAACAACTTCAATATGTCAAATAACAACTTTGCTATATCAAATGATTAGTTCAGTTTAGCCAATCACAACTAATGAATTATAATTAACAACTTCGGTACATCAAATAACAACTACATTGTAACAAATGATAGGTTCACTTGACCCCATCACAACTCAAGTATAATCAATAACAAGTTTATCAAATAACAACCCTAACCTAAACTTTAACAAATCACAAGTTCACATTACCCAATCACAACTTTAGTTCCGTTTTTAACAGGTTAAGTTTATCAAGTAACAATATCAACTATAACGAATGACAAGTTCACTTAACCCAATCACAACATAAGTTTTATATATACCAACTTCAGATTATCAAAGGACAATGTAACTATCACAAACAAGAAGTTCACTTCACCAAGAATATCACTCTACCAAAGATATACATACCGGGTCCAGAGAGTCAATATTTATCCTCTTGTCTTTGCTAGACACAACATCACTCCCTTTCTCACCATACAAGAGCCCCCTGATGCTCTTTCTCTCAGTACTTGCCAATTCTTTGATCTTCTCATCTATCCAGTATTGGATAGCACTGGTGGAGCCTCGCGGTGAACCTTGGATGAGGTTAAAATGCTCACCAAAAAAAAGCTGCAACACCACATATCATCACCAGTTACATTGTGCATATTGCCAATAAAGTACTACACAGTGAGAAACAAAATACTCATGCCAGAAGCAAGTATATGCAGCCACCAACAGTACTGCTCCCCTGCCCATCATTACCCTATCTATACAGCTTCACAAAGTCGGCCATTTCTTTCCATAGGTCCTCCATAATATGTGTTGCCCAATCATATTTTGCAAAGTCATCCATCATGGAACGCATGACTCTCACCAGCCTCTCACTCACTTTTGAGCTAGATGACGGACATAGAAAGGTATCCAGCATGTATAGGACCAACAAGAATTCAAATATGTGATCCTCCTCCCCAGAAATAATGTCATTCAGTATTTTGGTGAATGACAATCTCTGATGCTCATTCTTCAAGTTTTTGTACATTTCGTCATCCTCCGAAACTTCAATTTTAATCTTCTCCCCACCATGTTGTATTCCTAGGAGCTTCTCAACATATTTTACTCCTATTTCCTCAATTTTTCCCCAGATTGTAAATTGATGTGTTGGTGGGTCATATGATCTTAGCATAGTCACAATGAGATCGTGAGGGAGTCTCTTCAATCCAACCTTCAACAAGCTTTCAAATCTTATCCTCTCCACCCTATCCCTTAACTCATCATTATTATTCACAAAGTGCAATAATTTCTTAAAACCTTTCATGGACACTCGGGTTAAAAATAATGGTACATATTTCTTCTTTTTCTCCTCTTCAATCTTCTTTGGCCTTCTTTTCTTTGCCTCCTCTGTGTAACTCTTCCTCTCCTCATCAGACAAAGCTCTCTATGCCTTTGACACAGCGTCTCTTTTTTGTTTGCCTATGATATTAGTATCATCTAATGTCGCCAAATACTCCCTTCTAAATAGCAACCAGCCATTGTATGCCGATTTTGATTTGGAGGCTCCCTCAGATGCCATGTGATTTAGCCCAATTATTCTATGTTATTTCATATCATTTTAAGGGTATTTATCATAGATTTTGGCTCCTTTTGATGATAATTGTGCTTAATTTAGATTAAGAGTCCTTGCTTTGAGTTAGTGTCTTTTTGAGGTTAAGATTGTCATAATTGGTTATTAATTGTATTCAATTAATTTCTAGGACAATTGATGCTTCAAATTGTTGCTTTTTATTGTAGGACAATTGAGAATTAGAGCCAAGATCAAAGACCAAAGGATGACACAACACAAGATCAGAGTATCAGCATTAATAGAGTTCGCCGCGACGAAGATTCTCTTCACCGCGGCGCCAAATTGAAATCTCACCAGTAATCTCTCGGGCAGAGTTCGCCGCGGCCAACTTACATCTTCGTCGCGGCAAAATCACAAGATTAGGCGGAGCTCCTCTCGGGCATGCTTCGCCGCGGCGAACTCTTCATATCAGCAACGCCAGATCCGGATCAGAACGCGAAAATGGAGCTTCTAATCTATGATCCGACCCAGATGGACCCCTAAAACCCTTAGAAACCCTATTTTCGACCATACACTCCATTCCATCTCCTCCAACACCTCTATTCTCCCATCCTCTTGCCTCTCCACCTCCATCTTCTTCCCCATCCATTTCCTTCATCTTTCATTCACTCCATCTCAATTCCTTCCACTCCCAGCTACCATGGCCGACGGATTCACTTCAGTTGGAGCTTTTCTTGAAGCTATGGAGAGCTAGGGTTTATCAACTCTTGAAGAATGGTGGTGTGGCTTGAGTTCCTAAGCTTCAAAGGGGAGTTTAGTTTCAGTTTACAATTTTTAGCTATGATTTATGGCTTTCTAGTTCTAGGAGTTGTAATTTCTTAGTTAGGAACTTGGGACTGATACTGTAATTATTGGTTAATGATTACATTTGTAATTTGGATTGATTGATGTTGAACTTTGTGCTTAAATATATGTAGTTGCATATATGCTTATTGTAACTCTCATGATTCTCTCTTATCTTGCATAGTTGTGTTTGGGTACTGAGTTGATTGTGTGTTTCATTAAGCCAATTGCATGATCATTCCAAAATTACACATTAGGGAAGCTTAACAAAGTTTTCATTAATGAGTTCATTAATGTAAGCTTTGGACTCAATGAGTTATTGAGGTTGTTATTAAGAAAACCTAATGATTTGTGAAACTCCCAATATTTTAAGTGAACTATGATTGCCATCAAAGCCATTTTCAAGAGATTTCCTATCATTCATTTCCATTCCATCATTATTATCTTAAAACACCAAAAATATAGTATCTTAGGTTTGTTTTCATTGCATTTAGTTTAGGCACCATTCATTTAAGTCTTAAAAACCCAAAACCCCATTTCATTGCATTGCATGGCATTTAGTCTAGCTTAGGTAATTAATAAAGGCTCCCAAAAGTGAAACGACCCGAGTTTGCACTATATTGCATAGCTTGGATTAAATTTTGATTGAGAACCCCAAGGCGAACGACAGAAAGGCTCTCTTTCACCATGTCCCTTTTCCTACAGAATATTCAACATAGAATAGTTCACTAACACAACTTATTAACTAACTAACAACAATTCTGTCAACACTCGTTCTGTCAATCAAACGCCTATGATAAACTTGTTATTTTTTCTACAAAAGTTGTCAAATCTTTAAGCTCAACTAGTTATTCCCACATACTTATCATTATTGTTATTTTTGATCATACACTAGTCATTTAAAGTTATTAACTTGTCATTTGAAATGATAAACTTATCAAATTGTCATACTCAGCTTTGTTATTCAAACAAATCATTTCCTATTATCAACTTTTTACTTCCGCATACAAACCTTGTTATTCACTATTATAAACTTGTTATTTCCCATTACCAACTTGTCAACTTCGCATTGACATCTTCTTATTCCCAATTAATCAACAGCTTGTCATTTGCTGTTCTTAAATTGTTATTTTCATTATTGAACTTGTCAAACCCCACCGTCCATCTTCTCATTTACAACAAAACACACTTAGTACCTCTTCAATTCAATTTACCCCTAACCATATCCTATGTCGTTATTTTCCCTACTATTATTGTCATCTAGAAAACTAATATTGTCATTCCCCCCCCCACACACAAATACCATTCCCACAGGTTATTTAGCAAAAAAAACATATCTTTTTCACAGTAAAACATTCTTCATCACTTAATCAAAATTTGGATACTTCTCCCTTCCTGCCCTAAACTCTTTTACTTTCGCCAATAATTCACACATTCTTGCAGCAACCAATCCAAACAAAATCAGCCACTAAACTTACGACAATCACTCACCCAATGTAGCTGCTAACTCTGATCACTTAAAGCAATTGCTGCCACAATGTTATGCAATGCCTTCGACTTCTTTGAACCCTTCGACAGTACCAATAAACCACAGCTTTGTTCACCTTTGTCACACCAAATATGGTCTTTGCGGTTGCAACACTCCTCTCCACACTACTCTTCTGTCAAAATGGGCATAAGCAGGTGTGCGAAAATGGAGAAAATGGGGAGAATGCAGAGAACAGTGGGAAGTTGTCGATAGTGGGGGGACTATGTGTGCGGTTTTAGCTCGTTCAAATTACTGAGGGGCAATTTTGTCTTTTCACCAACATTTGCTATTTGTAATTTGAGACCAGGTCCCTCATAATAATTTGGCTTATTCAGGTGACCATATTCTAATTTTGCTAATTTGAGGGTCTTTATTTGTGATTTTCCCTTAAGAAAATTCCATTTTTATAAATATCATGAAAAATAAATTACTTTTTTTTTTAATTTTGTCCTTGTCCACAATTAACACCTGTAATTTCCCATCTATATTTTCGCAACCCACATAATCAATATTCAACACAATATTATTTTATTGACAAATGGAAGTATGTAACAATACAATTAACACATTGAGTGTGTATGTGTATTATATGTGTGAAAACTGAAATCTAAAAGTGCTTTTATAAATAAAAATACAATATTCTTTTATTGAAAAATGGCAGTAAAAGGGGGATTAATGAGCTGATCATACCGGGCACATCAATTAGAACCAAGAGTCAGCCTCCATAATTCCATTATCAATTGGAATTGTTTTGGGAGAGAAAATAGCGAGAAAGCGTGAGACTCATGGATAGTCAATCGTGTTAAAGATATCCCGTACTTTCCACCCTCCGTCTCTTTTTATTTAAAAAAAAAAGGAAAAAAAAAAAAAAACCTTTCTTATGGTCGTATCTTCTAAACATAAGAAACAAATTATGTTTATCTGAAATTTTAAACTCATCTTTTCACTTTTACCCTAGTTATACTAAATATATGCTAGTTATTATTTCTCTGTAATAAACTTTCACTTATTATCTCTTATGTACTCTCTTTATAAATAAGAGTATGATTATAAATATATATCTTACATATTTATTACTTTTAACTAAATTTAACAAACATTTTAGACTTCATGATTTTGGTAGTTGTTTCTTATAATAAGGGACGGATGGAGTACTATGATCCACTTCATGCAGTTTAATGTGGTAATTAAATAAGGGTTAAGGTATAAACTTGTTATGAAAGTCTTTATTACCTAAGAGTACTAAAATCATTTGCCTTTTACTATTAAAAAACTAACTTTGACAATGAAAATAATGATATTGATCATCAACGTTTTTAATGACAGAGAGCAATATTACTACAATTCTAAATTTTCGGAGCAAATTTGAACTCACAAAAATTTTCAGATACCAAATATTGCTTAATAAAAAATTTTGTGGACCCACTTAACTAGCAGATTTGCTTTTAGAAAGGGAACAAGAGAGCCCTTGACATTATTTAATCTCTATTACTTGATATCCTTATTTACGTTTAATTTTCCTTCATTGGCAAATATTATATTTTCAAAAATTCAAAATATTTACATTGAAAAAGGATAATTTTATTTTTTAATAATAAAATTAGACAGGTATTTCATGCATTATATAAAATTTGACGACTGAATTTTTCTTGTTCATATAAAAGAACTAATTTCAATAAATTTTATGTGTGATTTAATCATAATTTAATTTTGTTATAATATAAGTCTGATTTGACCAAGCAACAAACTTTCACCCCACAGAAGTGGCACTTAGATGTGTTGTGCAAATAGGGTGGCACTTAGATGGGTTGTGCAGATAGGGTT